CAAATTTTTTTTTCTCTCCAATGTCTCTCTGCCTACTATTTCCCCACTGGCTACATGAATGAGTAAAGATTTTATCTGATTGTACTTACCTGAGAGGGTACTGTCTAGGAAGACAACACTTGTAGGGATTGTTCTTGAACTCAACCAGTCTAGCAGAACACCACACAAATATTTCAAAACAGCAACAAATCCAGTTTTTGCAAAACAACAATATCACACCAAAAAATTAAAAGCACACACAAATTTAAAAAAGCCCAAAGTGCCAGTTATTGAGAAAGAAGAAACATAGAACTCAAAATGTCATTTACTGTAGCCACAGTTAAGTTGTAAATCAAAACCAAGCAGGATGACCAGGAGTGGACAAATAGAGTACCTAGTCTAAGTCTGAAAGCAGAGGTGCATGTTGGGGTAGTGTGCAGAGCGCGCGCGGCGGGGTTGGGGGGGGAGATTTTATTGACTTAGTTTCCTGCTGTATGAAGGACAAAGTGGTGAAGCTTTCTGGGTCCTTTCCGAAGGTATCCCTTGAAGTTCAGTGAGTGAATGAGATACCATATGCCGTCCTTTGAGAGCAAGTTATGGCACACAGCAAGGGAAGATGGTTATAGTTAGGAAAGGGAAACAGAAACAAACAGGAAGGCTAAGAAAGGTTCTGCCCTTAGGGTGACTATCACACCACCAGCAGGTGCTGGTTTTTAATGTTATGACCTAATCTAAAGTCAAGACTGCGCCAGTTGACCAGTAGTCGGGGCTTTTACTACAAACTGTCGAAGACCATACTTTAGACCATCCTAAAAACAACCTGCATTTTAACAAGGCCTAAACACCTTCATCTGCTCAACGATTTGCAGCATTTCTTTTTTGTGTATATATCAAAGCATGATATATTGACAAGTGAAAATCAAACTCCCAAAAAGTCATTGCTCTTTTGTTTAGCTATAAGTGTGTTATATTAATCTGACTAGGCAGTGATGTCACTTTGCATTGGTCCACTTCGTTCTAAACACAGAGGATCTGTCTACATAGCTGCTTTCCTACAATTAAAGGAAAACAGAAAATAATCTTTGCCTGTAAATCAGCTGATGGTTTGGAATTGAAAGATTAACATACCAGTTGGTCATATTGCTGATTTTCCCGTTTTTACCTGATGCCAGTCACATGAAAATGAAAAATCAAAATATTGAGTTATTAGCTCTGCCCTGTATAAACCATGTGTATATTTGGCTAATTTTGTTGTGTAAATTATTTATCTTTTGTTTCCTTGTAAGAAATGTAGTTTTCACACTCTAGAGAAAATAATAATTAAAAAAATTAAAAGCATTTCAACCAGTTCAAGGTAAAAAAAAAATCTAAGTTCCCCAAAAGATTAAAATTTGTCTTTCAGCATTTAGCAGAAATTAAGAGGGTTTGCCTGTGGTGTGTTTGGCTCATCTCTCTGTAATCTGGCCACACTTCCCAATGTGTGCTTATTGCAAATTCAGAATGGCTGAGAAACTTCCTGTTCAGATAGCTCATTTTCATCTGATCCCAATTTTCCCACCCAAGGCTCAGACCACCCATGGCAAATAAACAAAATTACCACCAAGGGCTAATTTTGTAATGCAAACAACTTGAACACAAATGTGTGAAAGCAGAAACTTCTGGCAATCTTTTCCTTTCCAATGGAAGTTTGAGCCACGATTCAATTCTTAATCTAATCATTTGTTTGCATGTACAAGACGGAGATCATATTGTCCTCATTGTAACTCTACATGTCGGGGGTGCGGAGATACAGAGCTGTTTCCCTTGTGATTTCTAGACATCATAGCTTTTCCTGCGCTTCAGTTTTCTTGTGTTAATAGGGGAATACTTATCTCTCTTCTTTATTTCTTATATTATGAATATCATTGATAAATATGATAAATATAAAAGTTAGATTCATGAGATGTGATCACTGTTGGATAACTATAATGGATTGTTATTGAAAAGTGTGTTTTCTTGGAGGCATTTTAGGATTCATAGCTTGTTCTGTATCTGGACTTATCTAGAAGCTTGTCACTTAGCATGTGCAATTCAGTCATCAACAACTCTCATTTTCCAGTAGATTTCTTTCTGAATGTTGAAAGCAGGAATTATTGCTTTTTATTTCTAACCCAAATATCTTTACAGGACTAAGAGTTTTTAAAATGTTCACCAGAGAACATTTTAAAGCATATCCATGCAACACTGAAAATTTGAGAAAAATACATCATCATTAAATGAATTTATTGGTATTATTTCTATTTTCATTGCTACCAGGAGAAAAGGGAGTGGAGTTCCACAAGTCTTTGAGTAAGAGAGAAGATCTGATCCTAAGTAGGATGTGCTAGTTCATCCTAGTTCAGAACACTCATCTGGAATGGAACAGAGTAAATCAAGAGTTGTGTGGGGTATTCTAATTACCTAGCTATAAAGGCCTCTGGAGAAGAAAGATTTTATCTTTCTCCCATATTTCCTTTGGTTTCTAGTAGACGGTGAAATTCTCATTGAGTTATTGCACAGTGTGAGGAAGAAACAGTGACTTTGATGTTGAAAGTGTTGTGTTTGGAGGATTGAGACTTCCAAAGTAAAAGAAGTTGTACAGTCTACAAGATACACAACTTTGGCATCCAGACAGGGTGGGGCAAATGGAAACAGATCTGCAGTACTCAGTTGTAATTGACACCATCAGGATGGGAAGTAGAGCAGTCCCTCTAGGTCTTCCTCGTATTCTTGCCTTCAGGCGCTTTAGTTCAGCACACAGAAGTACAGTCTGCTCTCATACTAAAATCTGTGGAGTAAAAAGTGAAGTCATATAGGATACTATAAAATACAGATCTGTAAAGAAACGTGAGGAAACACAGTACAAGAAAAGAACAACAACAACAACAACAACAACAACAACAACAACAACAACAGCCAAAGCCCTCAAAAGGCAGGAAGAAAACTAAGAAAATAGAAGACCAAAAGGAGGTACACTTCCAAAAACAGGGAGCAGGAGCTTCACAAATCGTGAAGAAAAGTTGACTTATTTAAAGACTGAAATTTATAGGTGAGGTTTAGTGGCACACAGGCATTTAATTGTCATATTTAAAAAAGAAAAAAGGAAGGAAGGGCAGGATCCTGAATTTCCCAGGTTGAGATGTACCAGACCCTTGGACCCTTATTTTGAAAGGATCTAGATCTTGTTCTGCTAATTGATGAGTTTCAGAATCTGGACCAGTTCTAGTGCTTCTGATGCCCAAAATGACACTCCAGAAAATGTTCAAGCTCTTTGGGCCATAAGAAACAGTGTGAACCTGTTGTGGGGCTCTGATGTAAATATGATTGCTCAGCTGTGCCTTAACTGTATTTCCAGTCTCTTATGGGCCACACTACACTCTAGTCTGAATTTTAACCTAACATACACTGGTGATAGGAATGAATAACCTATACTTATGTATAAATATTCAAATGTGTTGCACCTGGAAGGGAATAATCAAGGAAAATGATGCTTATGGACACCTCAGGAGAATTTCAGTGCTGTCTGTGTAAAAGGATGAGAGTTATACATGTGGATGAGTAAGTATCACAGGGCACCAACTCCCAACTACAGGACCTTGAACATCTTGAAGCTCATTTCCTCTTCTGTGAAACGTGGGTAATAACAACAGCTGACAATTTCTGGGCACCCAGATGTCAGTTGTTATTTTCAGGGTGTGGCTGTTGGTCCATTGACTGTGCTGTAGGGGATGTCCCCATACCAGTGGGTAAACTGGACTAGATGGGCTATCTAAGGAGAAGAAAACAAAAGAGGGTACAAATGGGGAGGGGAGGTGGAAGTAGATTTGTGGGGAGCAAGGTGGAGGAGCCAGAGTGTGAATACGACCAAACTATGCATTAAGAATTTCTCAAAATATTAATAATATATATTGAAACGAAGAAACAACTCAGTTACAGTTGTAAGAATGATATGAAGATGTGTTCTTGATATACCCCTCGCATGAAGGACAGTATCCAGAAATACCCATAATTATTCTGGGAGGCATGAAAAAGGAGGTACGAACAATGAGTTAAGACACGAAAGGCAGCATTGTAGCAAAGTGTGAGTCTCTCCTGGAGAAATAAAAGTAATGAAACTGACCTCATGGGTTACCCTGAAGACTGAATAAATGAGAGAGTGGATGACTCCATAGAGGCGGTGTCAGCAAGGACAGGGTGCTGTTCTAGCAAGATGCCTTTCGTTTGACATAACTCTGCATTAGTGACATGAGGCAGCCATTTTTTTGTCAGACACACCCAGATCACCTTCACTATGGGGAGGGTGGGATTTGATGATCTTTAAGGGACTTTCACCTTCAGATCTTGACAAAGACCTCAGGTGGTTTAAGAAATCTAGTATACTAATGTTCCCAGAATACATGGAAAATGTAGTCTCCGAGTCTCGTGGACATTTGATTTACTTAAAGAAGTCATTAAAGATGGGCTTTGAGTGGAAAGAATGCTTTTCCTCATTAACCCAGTTAGTTCGAGTCCCTGATTTAATTGCTTTGGCATTTTGCCTTTTGATATTTTCCAGCGTTATTTTTCCCTTGGTCTTCTCCAAAATGAAATAAGGATTCAAAAACTTAATTCTGTCGCTGGCGTCACTAATGAACAATTTAGCATGTTGGTTTAGAACTGCACCGATGTCTCCTTAGTGCTCAAAATAAAATTAGGGAACTCATCATTGGGAGACCTCGATTCTATGCTCCCCAATATGAGGAATTCTGCAAAGGAATGCAAGGATAATTTGTTTCTGTCGTCTCTGAAGCTGAGGGAAGAGCAGCAACAACATTTCCTTAAAGGCAAATCACACACAAAATTTCAGGTCAAGGCGATGAAAAGGAAAAAAAAAATCTTGCAAAACCTGAACTTCCCGCCCCCTCCCACAGTTCCTGGGAGGGGTGACTTCAGGGGCTCCTAACTGATTCTGTCACTGTAAAATCCTAGTCATTCTTCCACACATAAAGGACAAATAGGCAGAAGAGGAGGACCTTGGTGCTTTCAGTTTTAACTCTTCACCAATAGTGGAAAAGGCAGAATGCCTAAGCTGCGGCTCTGTGGCCAATAGGATGGCTGTGTGTCTCTCACGTGACCGCCTGCCCCTGCCTTTCGCATGGGCTCTAATTTAGTTCAATTCAGAACTGCAGATAGTACGGTTTCCACAGGAGCAGGGATGCCTGAGCACAAGTGGCTGAGTTCCGAGGGACTTTAGGAAATGCTTGTCTGGCTTCCTGGGCGTGCAAGCGGGAGTCTGCACCTGTACCACAGCCAGGCTGGAGAGAAGCTCCTGCTCTGCCTGCAGGGACGAGGGACGACAGCAAGAAGCGGCTTTTGGAAATTGTAAGTATACATTTCTTTTCAAGTGTGCTGATTAAAATAGTTTCCTGTCAGAAGCATAAAATATTCGAAGATTCGTCCAGAGACGCTTTTGTGTGTAGTTTGAGAGGTAGCAAAAGGGCAGGGAAGTATTCCAGGAGCATTTGTTGCATGCTTTCTTATGTGAAAAGATAAAGAATTAAAGCCGAAAAGTCAGGTTTTCCGCAGACTAGCTGCGGGAGGCTACACTGGGACACCGCTCCAGCTTGCTGCTTTGTTCATAGGGGGAAATGAAGGCACACACATATGTACTTAGTTCTTCTTTTCTTTCTTTATGTCTAATCAGATTTGATTTGTCCCCAGGAACAATAAAAGACAAACTTTGCTGACTCCACTGACTAGGGCACCCCACACTTTCCAGACATCTGACAGTTATTATAATTAGCCATGAAAGACTGCTAAAGACACTTGGAGGCAAATAGCTCTTAAATCGGAACAATGGCTTCAAGCCAGGGCTTTCTTTTGATTCATTTTTGAAGTGTTTTAAATTCTACAGTCATGACAGAGATTGAACTAGGTTTTGGGTTTTGTCCACAAAATGTGAAATGAGGTCCGAGCCCGAGTGACGGCTGCTGGAAGTGACCAGTGTGGAGAAGGAAGAGACAGCTTTCTGTCTTAGGAGTCTGGCCTCCATAGAAAGATTTTTTTTTTTTAATTCCTAATAGGGTGGGGTAAGGATGTGGGGGTGGGGAGGAAGCATGCTGAAGCTTCTTCATAGAAGAATCTTCAAAGAATAAACTAATTTAGGATGTCTTCCTACCGGAGGGGCAAAGCGTTAGCTAACATCTAAGTTGCATTTGTGAAAAAAAAAATTGGATGCAGTTTTAAAACAGAAGTGACATTCAAAGCAGTGTTTTTTTTTAAATTTATACAATAATTGGAAACAAATGGTAGAAAATGTTCCTGTTACTGCCTTCTTTTCATATTCAGCTAGAGTAATCCAGCAGTGCATTATGTCTTTTTTTTCTAGAATCATCCAAATCCTTAAAAAGTTCTAAGTTTAGTCTCGTAAGAAATGAAACTGCAAATCAAATCCGTGTGATTATGACTGATGAGGATTTGGAACAACAAAGCCTCTGCCCGAAAGAGAGTTTATAAGAACATGCTTCCCTCCCCATCTTTAAAGGAGAATATTAACTCCATCAATTATTGAAAGGAATTATTCAAAGGCTCCAGACATAACTAATTATGGCTTAGAGAGGTGCCAGAGCTGAGCCTGGGCTGTAATTACAAAAGTCCAAGACATTAGGAATCGTCTTTTTTAAAGGAGGCTTGAGCACGAATTTTCACATAATCTTTTAAAAATACTCCAGTTTTTCTTTGTCTGCTCTCATGTTATCTACACCTCCCCCACCGCCGCCCACTGTGTGCTGAGACACCTGAAGGCTAGACATAATGATCAACAGAGCTCCAGCCTGTCTGGACTCC